GAAAAACTAAAAACTAAAACCCAGAAATCCAAAAATCTCAGAGTATGTAATTTGATACTTACATAGAAGCTTACTTGCTTTACCATATCCTGAAAAATCTCAAGAGGCAGATCATGGATTTAGACACCTCTTGAACCATTACTGCTACAGATATTATTGAAAATCTGCTGAAATTATTACCAGTTGCATTCCGTATTTAAAGGCCAGTATTTTCCAAAGATTTACTCCTCTATTGCATTAGCACTGATTTTTGCTCATTCAGGAATAACACAGTGTATCAGATGGAGCAGTGTAGTTGGTCTGCATAAAACTCTGCATTTTTTTATGGCAACCACTGAAGTCCAAAATCAAATGATCAAGAATACATGTACACATTTATACACACACCTAAATTGTAATATCAAACTTCAGCTTTTCTTTTTCCTCAGCTCCTCAAGGAAAATCAAAGCACAGTGCACAGAAGCCTGACGGTAGACAGTAAAACTCTGCATTTTTTTATGGCAACCACTGAAATTATGCAGTAAGTCCAAAATCAAATTATCAAGAATACATGTAAACATATGTACACACACCTAAATTGTAATATCAAACTTCAGCTTTTCTTTTTCCTCAGCTCCTCAAGGAAAATCAAAGCACAGTGCACAGAAGCCTGACGGTAGACAGCCATATTACAACAAATTATATTTGTATTTCATTTATCCAATGTTATTAGTAGAAAGAAAACACAAATTTTGAAAACGAAAAGAAAAAAATTATTCCCAGAATCATTTCCACTGCCACAGAGGCAAGCACAGAAAATATATTATTGTGACTGTGTCTTGTTCTTGAAAAGAACAGACAAACCAGGGCTGAGGACATCTTGTAAAAAGTCATGATGATTTATAACAAACCATTTTAGAACATATGTTGCATATGCATGGTTAAAACCATTACACAATGTTCTATTTTCCAGCTAACTTCTGCTCAGCTGCTGACTTCAGAGGAGTAAAATATCATGAAGTGGAGGACAGAAAGGACAAACTCAGGTATTAGGCAGGGCACACCTAAACCTACAGAATCACAGGGCTGACTGAAAAATAAACTGGCACACACTTCCATGCCAGCAAGCACCCATTTACCCACGCTGCAAGCAGTGGCAGCAGTCCCCCATGGTTGCTGTAGAAGAACTGGGCAAGCTTCATTAAAGAATGGCACATTTCTAAAGATGTAAACGTCACAGGGTTTTTATGATGCATATTGGGTGTCTAAATTTTGTCCAACTGAGTGTGGTGGGTAAACCTTGGCCAGCTTCCAGACCCTACCCTATTCCACAGGGTAAGAGGAAAGTAAGATGGAAAAGATCACTGATCAGAGTAAAGACAGAGAGATCACTTACCAATTACCACCATGGGCAAAACAGTGTCAGCAACTGCCAGTTAAAATAGATTTGGACAGTGAGAAACAAACCCAGAGAGATTAGAACAGCACTGTCACCCTGCCCTTTTCCAGGCTCAGCTTCACTCCCCTGCCTGTCCAGCAACCTTGTCCCTTCTTAAATACACTTTCAGAGGCATCAGTGACTTTGCTGATGGCCTCAGCTGTGGCCTGCAGTGGATCAAATCCTGAACAATTCCTTGCCTTCCTTGCCCCTGCCTCTGAAATCAAATCCTATTAGAAATGTTTGAGGAATGCTCATGTCAGTTTTTCTGTGTGAATAATGTGCACTATGCACAATTGCAGGGACACTGTGCATTTCCTGTGTCACTGATTTTTTCACCCAAATTCCTGTGATATGGCTCACATGACCAGCTGTTAACCACAACCTGAACCACGCATGACTTCCAAACACACCCCTTTTTTTACTGTTATAACCTCTGCATAACAATTCCCTAAAACAACATTACACTTCAAACTCCAGCTGATACCATAAGATTGCATTTTACAGCTGTTATATTTCAGCATTTTAAAGCTCACAGTATTTTCTATGATGCCATCTGAACTCTTCATGAAATAATTTCTATTCCCCCTCTGCACAGATAGGGATTCTATTATGAGGCACCTTATCTCAGGGGCAGGGTTTTTAGTGCTTATCACAATGCCACTTTTCTATTTACATAGTAGGATTGACAAATAGATTCTATCCATATTTTTGTTTACTGAGCCATTTCCTGTGTGGAAACAAATTTGATTTGAAACAGCTCTGAAGTCTAGCAATGGAGAAATCTAATATGTGTCTGTCATATGAAGGTGGGTGAAAGGAAGTGCAGCAATCAAAAAGTCAAAATGGAAAAAGGAAACTAGACAGGGAAAGCACTAAAGTTTTACACTATTCTTCTAAACTTTATTTTCAAGACAACTTTTGCTACACAAATCTATTTCCTCATCAAGCTTCTTAATTCTATATGATGACTTCCTTGAATTCCACCCCCTGGATCTATTTAATTTCAAAAGCAGGAACACAGAAGAAAGATTTCTAAAAATGAAGGACACTAGTCTCTAGCAGTCAGAATCACAAAGAGAGAAATTATGCTCACAAAGGATTCTATGATTGTTTCAGGACTGATAGAACTTAGGATTGGAAGAATCTTAAGAACAGAAGAATTAAATTATGAAACAGAGCTGCAGAAACTTTCACATAAGTGCTGTTCACTTCTCCTTCTCATCATTACTTTTTCCCCTTTGTTAAACAGAGATCAATAAAATCATTCTGCTCGTAGGTAGTTGGCATCTCAAATCCATCCTCCAGCTATTTCTATACATTCGAGATGATTCATATGCAGAACTGCAGCATTTAATCTTCATGAAACAGAAAATGTGAGCTGAAACCTCATGAGAACTCCAAAATTCTCTCAGAACTATTACATAAATCCCATTCTAAAATGTTGTCAACTCTGAGAAAAGATCTGTAAATTATACCATTTCCTGAAAACTTTTTTTTCTAGGAAAATACTGAAGCATTCTAGTACTGTGATACCACTGAGAAATTTATTTGCAGACTAAAAGAACAGGAGAAACAAAGGCAGCAGCATAAAAATCCAAGTTTCCTACCTTTTATTCACCAAGTACAAGACTAGTTTTGGATCACTCATCCTACCAGGAATTTCCCAGTAAAAGGGAGAATGCTGGTAGGAGCAGCCTCGAGATTGTGATAGTAACAGTTCTTCTGGCAAAGTGTGAAGTGCAGATGGTGTCAAAGATATGCCAATAACTTAAGCAGGAGCTTCCAATAAAATCTCTTGTAGTGCTTATTACACTCTGTGAATCAAAGTGAAAGGGGCAGCCCGGGTTCTCTGGCTCTTTTATCCCACACTAGGCAGTTTAACTACTGTACATCCAAGAGCATCCCCCAGGGAAAAGCCTGCACTCCAGATGCATTTGTGTCTGTCCCAGACATGAGCTACCTCTAAGCAAGTCAATTCACAGTCCCCAGAGAAGCAAAATCATCATCAGAAACACAGGAATTACTTCCATCTGATCTACCTTCCAGTGACAAAACTACTAAAAAAAAGGGGTTGTCTCAAGTATTCCTTTGAGTCTTTCCAGCTCATCATGGCACTCAATGATCAAATGATCTTGAGCATGGTGACCTGCTGCTGCCTATGAATGCTGCTCAGAGATTTCAAACCACAGAGAATCCACACTAAGGCTTCTACCAGAAACCATCAATGCACTTGTAACACCGTTGTCCATATAATTAAGCTTCTCTTTCCCAAACTGGAGATTGGAATGCACACCACAGATGAGATAATTTACTGACAGAAAACTAACACATAAGGTTTAAACACTGAAGTGGCATCTTCATGGTGTATCTGTTTTAATTAGCTTTACTTTTCATGTAGGGTAAATAAAACATTAAGGAGTCAGCCAGACAGAGACACCACAAACTGTTTTTCAAATAGCTCCATGAAATGAGCAAGAATAAAGCTTGAAGAGTGTTATATTTACCTCTGTAGCTCCCAGGGCACTTTTAAGAACAGTGGGTCAGGTACACTGAGACACTGAGAAAATGTGCAATTTCTTTCCCACTGAGCTGTCAAGGCATTCATGCTGTGAATAGCTAACACCCTTCTTTGACAACCAGGCAAATATTTCTATTTTCTGCCATTCTAGGCATGACGTATCTCCACGTTGCCTCTGTTGATTTAGTGCCAATTCAAGTCAAACTTTAGATGTCTGAGACAGTAACCGGACAAAATACTCTTGATGAAGTCTTGTCTCAAACTCATAGACTGCTGCTTAATACATTTCCAAATAGTTAGATAGTAAAAAGGGCTGTAAAGCTGAAAAAGCTGCAGAGAAGCAGAACACACACTCACTGAACAGCCAGAATGGAGATTTAAGCAGCACATACAAGTCAAATATGCTGCTGCTTCTATTTATTGTTAACATTACTTCAAAAACACCCCACGTAAAATTATATAAGAGGATGTTGTTCCTTGAAATCAATTCTGTATTTCCCATCTTTCAAAAATACATGTATTTAGAGAAGCATAATTAATAACCAAGTCTATCTGGACAAGGTTAAATGAACACATCCTATTCAAGTGATAGTAGCATATAGATAATATAAGCATTATTCTTTCTTAATACTTAAAAAAATATAAATATCTAATGACATTTCACTTGCACCTACTGACCAAAACTTTTCATTTCTGATACTATGAAAGAGGAAGACAGAATGAAGGGAATAATTCTTTCAGTGGGAATAGATGCTTGATCAGTACTTCACAGTCTTGGCTTTTGTTCATGGGATAAGAAAAAACAGGTAGTAATAATGGTTCAGTGTGTGAATACTCAAATCCAAAACACTATAAACTATTGAGAGTGAGGACTTTGTGCCAAGAATTTAAAGCACTTTTGAGACTGGATTCCATCCTTTAAGCCATGCTGCATTACACAGTGTTTCCTTACTCAGAGCCTCTCTTGCCAGCAAGATTTGGTTTAGTGTTTTAACTCCCGTTCTTACAATCTACTGAGAATTAAAATGCACATTAAGTGACTAAGCCCTGACCAGTACTTACCAATACTGGCATAGCCAGGTGTGGATGGATCTCCCCCGCTGTTCAAGGAGACCATAAAAGCTTTATCAGCAAGGTCTGCAGTCTTTGGCAAGTCACAAGGATCAGTGTAAACAAGAACACCACCAAACCCTGCATCTTCCAGCAGAGAAAGCTGAGGAAACAAAGCAACACAGGTGACCATTAACAACAACAGTGTCAAAAAACATCTATTTTTTTTTAATTACTGCTGAGATAGAGGCTTTCCCATGCACCGGGTTCTCACCACAGAGTGCTCTGTGCCAAGCTGCACTGCCAAAGTGCTTGTAGCACATAGGTTTTCCTATGATATAAACACCACGCTGAAAATGCCTCAGTTTTGAAAATAATGTCACTAAAACACCTTGAGTTTACTTTCCCTATTATCCTTGTTATTATCTGCAAGATTTTCTTGCTTAGTTTACATCTTCAAGGACAAAGCACATACCGAATGTTTGTCTACACTGGCATCACGCTTCCACAGGATTCTGGACACAGTTAGTCTTCAATGAAGAGAGAAAACAGGAATTTACAGAACATGAAAAAAAAAATTAAAACTCTAGTCTATCTACCCAAATATTTGGATCTGGCTCCTGTCATCTTTTATTTTGTCTCATTAGAACATCAAAGTTTGAGTTGGAACTGGCAGTTGGAGTTTCCAAATATCCACAGATCTGGGCCAGAATATCAGACAAACTTCCCCCAAAGTCAAGAACAAAAGCATCCAAGTACCATAAACTGCAGCAGCTTTTTTGACTGGAAAACCTCAGGTTTTTTCTTTCATAGAGAACTGAAAAATAAGAGGATTTTATTCCAAAATGGCCAAAATCAAATTGTAATGTGGCAAATACTCCCATGAAATGACATGACCTTTCTGTGTAATGCTCTGCATATTTGGAATTGACTGAAGACTACTCACTGATACAATGCTATATTAATTTTTCAGACAGAAATAACTCAGGTATTTAAGAATTATCTTACTATTCATTGGGCTGCTTTACTGATGACTTTCCAAATGTCTCCAAATGGTCTGAGGAATGACTGCAGGTACATGATGTTTCTACACAACTCCGATTTCACAGGAGTCTGAGGACTTTTTACTACACTTCTGTTTCTCAGATCAGTTGTCTTCTTCCTTTTACATTTTATAACCTTTTTTCTTCTTGCCTATGTATATAATCTTCAATTTATCTCCTAGCTGCTGGTATTAAGGAATGTTTATGCACAGTTATTTGTGGCTTTACAAGTATGTAAATTACATGAATATATGGCATTCAGTCTGAGCCTCATAAGCATTTGGTGTTCAGTTCTGCTTTACTCAATAGCTAAGACAGAAAAAAATATAAAAATAGCAGCCTAGTATTTGCAATATGCTAAAAATAGCAAAGTACTATTTGCCATTTCTCTAAGTAAATGTATCTAATATTGTGCTTTGCTAAGACCTTGACACTCGTCTGAATTCAGATAAGCAGATGCAAGTTGAACCTGTGAGTCACATAATCCTACCTATCTCACACAAACAAGCAATCCACAGATGAAAAGGGATGTTTTGAGAGACCTCTAGTCAGACGAGTAGGAGAATGAGAGAAGGTGATTAGCTCAGATGCAAAAATATATTACAGACCTTAAATGTAATGCAGGAATAGGGATTTCCCAAATGGTAGGTTCATTTATTATTGTATTGTTCTGTTTTCAATTCATGTTTGTATTCAGATATTCAGGATCTGATTGCACAAAAAGTAGGGTGGGAGAATTAGGGACACATCATAGCTAAATGATGTAACGGGGGATTTAAAATAACTGTTGCCTTTTCCTGCCTCCATATCCAGTATCTTTTTATTAATCCCTGGATTATTTAATAGTACACAAAACAGGAAATACAGATTTTTTTAAAGAGAATTTTAAAAACTTTGCACTTAAAAAAAAATCTCTATTAAATCCCACAGTTTTAGTGAGAGAAAGTAACTACACGTCTGCTATTCACCAAGTGCAGCAACCACTGCTGCCATGGCTACAATCTCTAGTAAGGAGTTGTGTCACACATGTGAAATTACAAAACAGCTTTCAGATTTCAGCTATAATTGCTGCTTTTTAACTTTACAACAGTGACAGCACAACTATATCAACAATAAATGTGCATTGTTGATTCCATTTTCATCTTAAATACGTCAACACTTTACCAGCCATAAATTGTCCAAGCACAAAGAAGCCAAAGAAGGTTCTGCATAGTTTTTTACATGTCAGAAGATTGTAGATTAATTCCTGCAGGTAAACCAGTGCACATCTGTTCAAATGAATGGATTATTTTAGATTGCAAAATCATCCAACAGCAAAATCTGCTCCTTATGATTTTGGATTTATGCATTGTCTCTCTCCCAAAGCCATAAACATCTCAGAACAAACTGGAAACAGCAGAACCCTTGAAAACAGATGCTGGTGCCCACTCTTAACCCTTTAGTTATTTATGGCTGCTTAAGTCCTCAGTTTTTGGAGTTACTTTAAAAAATGTGACTGTTTCAATTCAGTATATTAAATCACCCCATAAAACATTCTGGACTCAATTTAATCTAATATGAGACACCTGCTGCTTACCAAAGGCCCTGTCCTGTACCTGGGGACAGCTTAGCCTTGTAAACTCTACACACCACCAGGCACCATTAAATTGCCTTTTAAAGATGATATGGCTGAAGCAGTGAAGAGACAGATTGCAACAGTCTACAGAACTCAGTTTGGCTCTAAGGGGAAAACCCAAAGCTGCTTCTCCATTTTAACTGCACCATCTCTGAGATGTGGCAGAGGAAACATTTCCCTGTCTGAAGTCAAAAGTGCCTACAAATGTAGTTCTCATTTTCACAAGTCACTTACGTGAATGGATTTCACACTATTGAAAGTGTATCCTCACACCTGGACACAGATAATCACACTAATAGATAATATTAGGCTGCTCACTGAAACTTCTCAGAGGTTTTTGAAGGTTTTTCTACATCAAAAATATTTCTGTGCCTGGCAAAGTAACAAAACCCTAAATAAAGAGATAAAACATACTTTAGCTACAAGCACATTAGATATCTTTAGACACTTAAGGACTTTTTTTTAATACTTAAAATGGCAGTGTACACTACTTAAATCTCCTTAAAGCTGCATACAGAATTACAAAAATTATATTTTACACAATAACTGCCTAAGTGTAAATGACATCACAGTTCATTAGACAACAAAGGCCTTTAAGTGTCAGCTACTGACAGCAAAGTTAATTTGGGATCATGTTGTTACTCTAACATACAACCTCCTCCATGTAGCATCAGGCCAAAATTCTTCCTCTTCCTAAAGGCAGATTCACAATCCCACTGTTTATTTCAAGTCCACTCAGTGCTAACAAAGCAAACCATGGACATAACACATTCGTAAAATAAGAAGTAAAATCCTGTCTATATCTCTATATAATTGTAATCCCCTTTTCTCTGTCCCTTCCAGGTGAACTTCACAAAAATGTATGCAGAATTTTATAATCAAAGCCATAATACATATGGAGCGTGGAAACAAAAATAAAGAAAAACTAATCATTAAAGAAAAAAAATGTATATCAAAACCACATTAAAAATACATGTTTGTACCTAATACATATTATTTGGAGTAAAAGCAAATATATTAATGTTTCTAAAATCTCCTATTGTCATTATACTTCAGTGCAATTATCAGCATTAATTAGACAAATAACAGTAATCCGTTTTTAACTGCTGCATTTTTCAATTCATAGTGCAATGTGTAAAAGACATGGTTCATTAATCCGAGACACAGCTTTACTGGACAGGTTAACAGTTATGAATTACTCTTTTCTACTGAAGTCCCAATTAAAATCATGATGCTCTGAAAGGATCTCCCATCTTATTTGACTAATTTGTAGTACATAAAATTATGAAGCAAGAGCAAAGGTACATTTAAACATGCTGAAAGATCTCACTGACTCACTATTTCTGTAGCAGACTGGGTAAAAAAGCAAGATTTCAATGCTGTGGGTATAATCAGATGCTGCTGTCTTCTACCACCTATTACCTACTGTAATACAGAGCACTTGGAAGGGGCTTGGTAACACAAACAAAACTCAAGGTGGAAGAAACCCCATTTAAATGCACATATCTTCATCTACATACCACTCTTCCAAATGACAAGTTTTTAACAAAGAAAGGTTTGGTTTCACCTTGTATTTTTAATATTACATTTGATGTTTAATCATGCTCCAGGATTCCCCATCACAAATACTGAGGGATGTTTAAAGGAATTTGGAGGCAAAACTCTGTCTGAAGAGGTTTTGGCTTTTGCTGATCAACCCTCAAGGTGCTGTGCTAAGGCTGTAAAAGGGATGGAGGATGCAGCCAGTTTAATGGTGACCATAAAAAGAAACACATCTTTCCTTTCCAGCTCAAACACTGTCCTTGCCTGAGGAATGGCATCGTTGTTATATTGAACAAACAGGGCTGGGAAAGGGATTAAGCTGAATAAAACTTCCAACAGCTATAAATGCATACCCAGTGGTCTCATAAATGACAGGCTCTGGCCATAAAGGTCTTAGAAGGGGGAAAACATATTGCAATGAAATTTATCAAAACATTCCTGCCATACAGTGACATACATAGGAACAATACAAAATCAAAGAGTTGCTCTGTATCATGGCAAGACCATAAGACTTTGATGTAGTTACTACCAGAGAAATGATAACATGAAGTGTATTTATTTGTGGAATCTGACAAGCATATCTATGATTTTTTTAAAGACATTTTCTGTAATCACTTTCCAAACTAAAATTGGCTTTCGCAATTCTCAATTTTCAAAATTTTGTCCTTTTTTTTTTAATATCTAGAAAATTATTTCTAGGGAGGAGAGAGTCTCCTTTTGTATTTCTTGGATGTCCTATAGATTGCGGGAAGAAAAGCAGAAGGGAAGTGTAAGAAAGTTTACAATGTTAATCACAAAAATCTGCCTTTGAGCAATGGGGCTGCGTGGCAGTGATGAGTAAGATCTACTTTGTACATTAGCTTACCATCCATTATATTTTTAAGTACATTCCTCTGCCAGATATGCGCTCTCCAAGGACAGTAGACTTCTCAGTGAACACTGGTCACAAGCTTGTTCTGTGCT